ACAGGGAATAAAAAATAAATGAATGAAAAACTAAAGAATCAAAATGGAGAAGACACTTAAAACTATTGTTTCAAAAGAGTTTTAAGGAAAATTATGGTAGTTCGAAAGAATACACACCTTAGGGGATAAAAAATTTTTAGCTTTATGATAGATCTTTGAATTTCTGTTATGATTATATTTCTCATGTTCGTAATTCCTTGAAATATAAACTTGATACATATTTTTTGTATATTCCTTGATACCAATAATTAGTGATATATATATACTTTGTCTACAAAAAAATTAATCAACAAACAAGTCTTTTTCATTTCTCCTATGAATAAATTTATTTTCCATAAATAAAAAAAAATTTGTCACAAAGTGCGAATTCGTGTTTAGCATCCCAAAAATACATAAATATACAAAAAAAATTCCACCAATTTTCCAAGTAAATTCCATATTTGAGTTCTATCGCCTGAACAATTCTATAACACATACATAATTCCTTAAGAATGTTTTTTTGGAAACATCGCGTTTTAGGCTCAAAAAGAATGACAAAGCACTTCCATTTGATCAGATTTTCACATGCTGAGTTCTAATCGTGAGCAAACCTCAATGACAAAATATTTGTGCAGGCGGCATATTAAGTCACAAGATCAGGTAGTTACTATCTTTCTCTGAAAGAAGTTTGATCGCAATCTGCGTTAATCTCTGGAACTATTTGAGAAAAATCATGCAATTTTTCCATACAATTATAAAACTCTTTTCTCCTATTTATTTAATTTTATGTAAAAAGAAAATTAATTTTAAAATTACTTCCTATCTTTAAATATTACTTTATAAGAGAATTTTTGAATTTTAAATTATATAAAATTTTTACTATAATTTTATCAGACGAAATCTAGTGTTAGAGCAAACAGATTTAGGATATGAAATTTAAAAATGTGACATTTTTAAGCTATTGTATTTACTTTCTTTCCAGCATATATAAGCTGGAAAGAAAGTAAAATTGACAAGAGTCAAAGCTTTTAGCCTTTTTTCTGCTTAAACCACATTTTTCAGATTGTAGTTACCTTCCGTATTTTGATAGTCAAGAATCAATACAGAAAAATGTGTGCTTATTCTGAGAAAGTGCGTTTTTGTGCGTGATTTCGTAACATAAAGCAGCATCTTCACAAATATTTTAGCATATTTAATCCTTTGAAATTATTTTTATTGCATCTTCAGACAGTCCGATTATTAGATAATAAGTTATTATGGCGTTGTAGTTCTCTTTTTTGCTCCCTATGCCAACTTTAACTGTCTTGCTTTAACTGTCTGCTTGACCCACATATGCTGCAACACTTCCGATAATAAGTATTTATGGCGTTGTATATCTCTTTTTTGCTCCCTACGCCAGCCAGAAACTTTAATTGTCTTGCTTTAACTGTCTACTTGACCCACATATGCTTTAAGACTTCCGTTAATAAGTAATTATGGCGTTGTATATCTCTTTTTTGCTCCATATGCAAGCCAGAAGCTTCAATTGTCTTACTTTAACTGTCTACTTGACCCACATATGCTGTAACACTTCCGATAATAAGTAATTATGGCATTGTTTATCTCTTTTTTGCTCCCTATGCAAGCCAGAAGCTTCAATTGTCTTACTTTAACTGTCTATTTGACCCACATATGCTGTAACACTTCCGATAGTAAGTAATTATGGCGTTGTAGGGGAGAGTCGGGTAGCCCCGCCCAGCGGGTACCCCCGCCCACTGTCAATTTCATATGTATAGAATATTTTTTCAAGTCAATGGGCCATTGAACATTAATTGTTATATTAAAAAAAGATTATTTTCAAAGTTTCAAGTATTTATGCAGCTGGTAACATGGTAAACAATAGTTTTGAAAATATGTTGAATACAGCAGTCGTGAAATTAGGAAAAATTGGTTGAATGTTTCGATTAAACTTCATTTTAATTTTAAAAAAATAATTTTTTCTATACATACATCATTAAAGTATGTAGTCTTAAGTTTAATTTGCACAAAGAAAGAAGTTTGTATGTAAAAAATTGTTCGAGAAATTACAAATTTGCAAAAAAATTGGATTTCTGGTAGCCCCGCTCACATGAATGTCGGGTATCACCCCCCAATTTTATTTCGTCGATAAATGTACGGTTGCAAAGATTATTATTTTATTGCTTCAAATTTGAATGTTATATGAATTTTTAACAACAAATATTGCTGTTATTAAATGATTGTTATTAAGTGATAGAATTCACAAAAAGTATATAAATATGCAATAAATAAAATAATTTTGTGATAAAAATGATAAATGAGGTTTATCTATTGTCAATGCATTGGTCATTTTCATTTACACTTGAAAAAACAGTCAAAAAACCTAATTTTTGTAACTTGGCGGGGCTACCCGACACATTTTGAAAAGAGCTGAAAAACAAGTTTTTTTAAATTACTATTTTTTTAAGTTAAACTATTCTTTTTGGTTCATTCTTTTTGCATTATTTAATTAGATGATAAAATAATAGAAACATGCAAAAATATTGATTATTACTCAATATTATACAGAAATATAAGGAATACTCCGTAAGTGGGCGGGGCTACCCGACTCTCCCCTATATATATCTTTTGTTTTTTAGAAAATGCTGCAGTGGTTTTTCCCGTCGAATTTTGGCAAATTCGATCGATCCCTAATGGTTTGCTCACTCATATGCACATTAGATACAAAACTATGAATATCATAATGATTGGTTATAATCAAATATGAATTTCAAGAAATATATTACGAATTTTTTCCTATAATATCGTACAGTGAATTTGCTGTTACAATTCTGTACATCAAAATAAGTATAATTTTGAATTCGTCATTCTATGCAAATTAAGTACAATTTTGGATTCGACATTCGATGCAAAGTAAGTAACGTTAGCGATACGACATTTTACGATGTAGTAAATATAATTTATTTACGATATTCTTTGATAAAAAAGNCTTTAATTGTCTTACTTTAACTGTCTACTTGACCCACATATGCTGTAACACTTCCGATAATAAGTAATTATGGCGTTGTATATCTCTTTTTTGCTCCCTATGCAAGCCAGAAGCTTCAATTGTCTTACTTTAACTGTCTACTTGACCCACATATGCTGTAACACTTCCGATAATAAGTAATTATGGCGTTGTATATCTCTTTTTTTGCTCCCTATGCAAGCCAGAAGCTTCAATTGTCTTACTTTAACTGTCTACTTGACCCACATGCTGTAACACTTCCGATAATAAGTAATTATGGCGTTGTATATCTCTTTTTCTGCTCCCTATGCAAGCCAGAAGCTTCAATTGTCTTACTTTAACTGTCTATTTGACCTAAGTAATTATGGCGTTGTATATCTCTTTTTTGCTCCCTATGCAAGCCAGAAGCTTTAATTGTCTTACTTTAACTATCTACTTGACCCACATATGCTGTAACACTCCCGATAATAAGTAATTATGGCATTGTATATCTCTTTTTTTGCTCCCTATGCAAGCCAAAAGCTTCAATTGTCTTACTTTAACTGTTTATTTGACCCACATATACTGTAACACTTCCGATAATAAGTAATTATGGCGTTGTATATCTNTCAAACTCGCAAATGGACCAATCAGAGGTTAGCGCTGATTTCCAGCTGACGGCGTCCTGTCCTAGAAACCAGGCCTTTACTGTCTATTTGACCCACATATACTGTAACACTTCCGATTGTAAGTAATTATGACGTTGTATATCTCTCTTTTGCTCCCTATGCCAGCCAGAAACTTTAATTGTCTTACTTTAACTGTCTACTTGACCCACATATGCTGTAACACTTCCGATAATAAGTAATTATGGCGTTGTATATCTCTTTTTTGCTCCCTGTGCCAGTCAGCAACTTTAATTATCTCGCTTTAACTGTCTAATTGACCCACATATGCTATAACACTTCCGATAATAAGTAATTATTGCGTTATATTTCTCGTTTTTGCTCCCTATGCCAGCCAGCAACTTTAATTGTTTTGCTTTAACTGTCTAATTGACTCACACATGCACTAACACTTTGATGACTCACATTGCACACACATGAGTGCTACTCCAGCATCGCCTAGCATATTTTAAACTATATTAATTCTAAGTTGAACGTGGTTTCATCGAAACCTCTTCTATTTTCTGACTTTGCTCAGCAAGAACTCTGAGAAAGAAAGTGTGGTAAAAATTATCTGAATGTGATAAAACTTAAGTTTGTTATCTGGCTCTATGGGAACACCTCTAAGTAATTTTGCAAGTAAAGTGCTTTGGTAATGATTTTATCAAAATTAGCAATAAACTATGATTTTATAATATGTGATAAAATTTGGTAAATGTGGTAAAATTTGATCATTTAATCATGATACATTAGAGCATAGCCATTTATTCGGTTAAATTTACTTTTCAGTTTTATATTTACTAAATGTGTGGTAATAGGAATTATAACCTTGAAAACCAGTATTTCCTGTAAGCCGTTACCATAAAAAAGGGAAAATTACCAAATGAATTTTTTAAATACCGTATATTTTACTTTTTATTTCCAGAATTATCTTTTTTTTTTTAGAAATGTCATGACAATAGAGTACGGAAATTTCACCAGAATTTTTTTGTTCGTGTATTTTTAATATCTTTAACTTTTAAGATGTATAGAAAATAAATAAGTTTTATAAAAATAAGCCCAATGTAGCATGACCTAAAAAATATCGACCATGTAGTAAATGAACAAAAACAAAACTAAAACTGAAATTTTCAACCCTTTGTTTTTTTGTCCAAGTCTCGCCTTTCTTGACAAAAATATTTTTATACCCTAGTTTAATTTATTCACAGTTGAACGAATTTAATATCAGCTTCCTTCTAATTCTCTTTCCAAAAAGGTTGTTCTAACTCTCTTCTAAAATAACGAATAGAATTAAATTCTCGTAAAAATTCTCCTGTTTCTAAAGGAAAATACATAAAATGTAAATAACACCTGCTTCGAATTCGAACAATGCAAAGGTATTCACGACCACTTTTGATAGCACCAATTATTCGTGTACTTGGTGAGAAGTTCTTGAAGAACACTTTCACAATTGAATCGACTCATAAGGATCAAGGATGAAGGGATGAAAATGTGTAATCAGACGGCGCAAAGCAGATGTTACGATGCAGCACCATTTGACTAAACTGAATATCGACGTCACATAAAATTATTACAGACGCTCAAATTGGTATTCTGAGCGTTTTTACACATGACTTGCATGATATTAACTATTTGCGAAATCTTAACGAGAATCAACAGTTGAAATAGAAACCGTGAAAACGGAAGCATTCAGACGAAGTTAACTGATATCGAAGATTTATCACAGTTTTCTTTTCTGCTTTTTTATGTTCAATAATTCTGCAAAAGAGCAAACCAACGTGGTAGAAACGTAATAAAGCATACCCAAGAAAATAATCATTGAGAAGTAATTGCCGGTATAATTACAGGTAAGTAATAAAATCTGCCTTAATTTTCTCTATTTCATTTTAAATGTGAATCAAGCCTCTCAAAAATTTATGTATATATATATATATATATATATACTTATTAAAAGGAAAAACAAAAAACAAAATATTTCATAGGATACAACAACCGTGCCTCTAGGTTCAACTTGCATCGTCTCCCCTTATAATCTATAAAAAAATTAAAGCTTAATACATATCAGTGTAAAAAAATTTTTTTTAACATTTTATCGAATGTGTGCGTTTAGCACCAATAACTATTATCAAAAACACGCGTCTTTGTTCTAATTAATATAATCTTCCGAATCAAAAAATTTAAACATTCACTTTTTATTATTTGTGTATTAAAAAGGAATGAAATGAAATTCGATACATTAAAAAAAATTTTGAAGCAAAATGCAACAATGAAATTGTAGCAAAAAAGATAGTTGCTTTTTCATCGCAGATTTCAATAGTTTATATATTTAAAAATGTTAATTTCGCTTACAGTTTTTCTTTAATAAAACACAATTTTCTCAGCTTTAACGCGCTCNCTTAAGTTACGCAGAAATAAATAATTGAATATTTATCTAACTTCTGTAGCAAGTACACATTGTTTTACACTAATATTCCTTTCAGTAATTAAATATTTTACACGGTTTTTGAAACAAACTTAATTAATTCAAGCAGCAACTGAAATGAGTAAAATAAAAGCGCTTTTTTTTTAAATTTTCTACTTTATTACAGCAAAAAAGAAACATAATTAGAATATTAAGTGCAAGAAATATCAAAACAATATTATCGAATTTATATTTTTAATGAAATGTTCATAGAAATTCAATATTTAATTCATTTGAAAGAGACATCAAACAGATTTTTTTTTAAAAACTAGTCTTTTTTAATTTTTAAATATATAAACAAAACCTCAACTCCAAACATGCTTAATTAAAAACCGAACGGTTTTTGAAATAAACTTAATTAATTCAAGCAGCAACTGAAATGAGTAAAATAAAAACGCTTTTTTTTTAAATTTTCTACTTTATTACAGCAAAAAAGAAACATAATTAGAATATTAAGTACAAGAAATATCAAAACAATATTATTGAATTTATATTTTTAATGAAGTGTTCATAGAAGTTCAATATTTAATTCATTTGAAAGAGACATCAAATGGATTTTTTTTAAAAAAACTAGTTTTTTTTTAATTTTTAAATATATAAACAAAACCTCAACTCCAAACATGCTTAATTAAAAACCGAACGGTTTTCGAAATAAACTTAATTAATTCAAGCAGCAACTGAAATGAGAAAAATAAAAACGCTTTTTTTTAGATTTTCTACTTTATTACAGCAAAAAAGAAGAGTAATTAGAATATTAAGTACAAGAAATATCAAAACAATATTATAGAATTTATATTTTTAATGAAATGTTTATAGAAGTTCAATATTTAATTCATTTAAAATAGACATGAAATAGATTTTTTTTTAAAATTAGCCATTTTTAATATTAAATATATAAATAAAACTTCAATTTCAAACGTGCTTAATTAAGAACTGAAAAGTAATAATTATTTCAATTTTGCGCAAAAAACTATAATTTTTTGTACAAGTTTTCCAATTATACGCAACAGACAATAATTTATTGTTTCAAATTAAAAAACAAACGTGTGGAAAAGATCATTTAGCATCAATAACGATTCTTAAAACAAATCAGGAAGAAATCAGTCAAATCAGGAAGAAATATTTTTTTTCCAACAGGAATAGTAAGATTGAAAAGATTTTAAGCGTTACAGCCGGAATTCTAGTTCTCTGTAGGCTGTTAAAATTGTTTTCAGAACTATATTAATATAATTACACAGAAAAAGAAAACGCATTTTATTTTACAATATTTTATTGCACAAAACATTAGTTAACAGCTCTCAGTGAGCCAAAATCAGTGGTTTAAACCTTTCAAAGAATTATTTTTGTTTAAAAAAGAATATTTTTTCCTGATTTGAATTTGTTTGGAAAATTCACTTGGTATTTCAGTAAAATTAAAAAGATGAATTAATTATTGGAAATGAACATATTCTTTAACATTATTTTACATCTAAAAGCATCAATCATTCTGCTAAAGGCTCATTATGTGACAAAACCATTTTAGAGTTCAAAACATTCTGTAACTATTTTTCTGGTTCAAACCGCACACACGTAGTTTTGTTATTTTTCTTAGCTGAAAAAAAGGGTGGTAAAATTTACTTTGCTTCTGGCTCTATGAGAAAACCCCTAATCTCGGTAATGCTTACTGAAGTGAATAGTTAATGATTTTGGTAAAATTACCAATAAAATTTGGTTTCATAATATGTGATAAAATTTGATAAATGTTTTAAAATTCGATAATTTTTTCTGGATGGTAAAAAAAAAAAAGAATTCGGTAAAATTGACTTTTCATTTTCTTATCTTTTACTAAATATGAGGTAAATAGACAATAATTTTGAAAAACAGAATTTTCAGGAAACTGTTATCATATGAATAGAAAAATTGCTAAATAAATGGCTTAAATGGGGTATTACAGTTTTCAGACAAAGAATTATGGGTTTTTTTTACCAAAATTCTCATTACCATACAGTACGGTAATTTGACCAAATTTTTTTACCGTGTATATGAAATAACCATTTTTTTAAACATTCATTTGTACAAATTCATTTTTGCTATCATTTTTAATGAATTATGAATAGATAGTAAAAAGATTTTATTGATTTGGGCACTATCAATGTACGTTCTTAACTATTAAACTTCGACCATTTAATTTTCTGTAAAGTTAATGAAGGAAGTGCTTCTTGTAAAATTATATTTTCCCACATAAAACCTGTTTAAAATATTGTTTTTCCCCGCGAGTCATAATAAAAGAAAAAAATAGTAAAAGAACACCTACAAGTTCAAGATTGCTCTAAATGTTCCATTTTGAAATTTTTAATTTTACTTATTTTAAGATTCCCTAAGAATTGTTCAATCTTTTGTAATATTTCTTTAACCATTGCATTGTTTTCAAACAATGTAAAACTATTATTTTGACTTACTGTACAAAAGAAGTTTTTAATTTTCCTTTGTGTTACTTTCAGTATAGTCTTTTATGTTACCTTTACTACAATTATTATTCTCTTCTCGTGCTATTTAAATGGATGATAAAACAAGCAGCTGTAACAGATCAAAAACAAGATTGACAGATTTCAACCAGAAAGTCATAAATGTTGTTGTTTTTTTTATTTAAGTTCAGTTTAAATTGTTTTTTATGTTTGGTTTAAATTTTATAAATCGACATACTAGATTTTTAAAAAAAAGATCATATTTCCCGCCGTTTCACGGCATTTTAAGTAAAATTTCAAGCAAAGAAAACTTTTAATTTCCTTCTGCGAAACATAATTTCGGGTTAAGTTAAAAAATATTGTCATTTCAACTCTTAGTTATACTAAGATATACTATTGGTAAAAATATGATATGAATCATACAAAAAATGAATAAATTATCAACGCGTTCGAAAAAAAAACGTTTTGAAAGAATCGGAGGAAAAATTGGCTAAAATATTAAGCGGAAAGAAGCTTGCACTTATTACTTTCTCTCTTTAAAGATTAAACTCTTTTAAATCTTATTCTTGGTAAAGCAAAATTGCTAAGCCTGTTTTCAAAAGAATCCAGTCTATTAAATGTTTATTATTTATACTTTACATTATCTGAACTTATGCCAGAATTGTACCAAATAAAAATCTGTGTCTTTCAATGTGTTCTACTGTATTCTTATGTCCTCATTGGCTCATAGCAATAAAGAAAGACAAAATAGCACACTAGAATAAAATTTTGGCGTTCCTAGCTCCATAAAAAAAACCACCTAGCATAAAAATAATTGCTTGGTATAAGGAATCATAGAAAGGATAAAAGAAAACGATTTTTATAGGTAATAAAATTAATAATTAACTTACAATATTTTGCAGTTAACTTAAAACTTTGTTCTTCGCATAGTAAAAGGAAAAAAAGGTAAAAACTAAAAGTTCAAGACAGCACTAAATGCTCCATTAGGATTTTTTTTCTCATCATTGTTTTCATTTTAAAACAAAAATAATTACTTAAAAGAGCAAGTAAGGTATTTAATTTAGAATTGCTGTACATTTTGAAAAAATAAAACACAAATTAGGAATATCATCGCTCCTCTCAACAACAAAAAATCTTAGCTCCAAAATGTTCTATACTCAAACTTATTTTTCGTTTTCTATTCCTATTTCAACTTTTGGGTTGCTGAATTCGAGCATATCTGAATCGTAACATTCGAAGCAATATTTCAAATAAAATAATAAATTGTTCTGAAAATTCCTGTTAATTACTATCTAAGTATCCATAATTATTAAAAAGCCATATGATATGAAAATTTGATCTGCAAATTTCATGTACAACAAATAGTTTTACCAAAATTGTTAAAAATAAGAGAATTGTAATTCCTTAACGCAACATTTCGTATTCCAGCTTTTTTAACTTTGCAAATTTTAAGTTACACACGGAATTTTTGTCTTTAATTTCGTCTGGAATTTTGTTTTTGAATTTTTTGTCTAATTTTTATTAATCTGTGTCAGAATGAAGGTATGCAGAAATAATAAACACTATTATCTACCACATGATATGAAGATATGAAGACTACAGAAGTTTAATATTACTTAGTCCATATAACCGTAATTCNAATACTTCTAAAAGAACCGTGGTGGCTCAGGTAATAGAGCATTCGCCTTCCCATAAGGTGAACCGGGTTCGAATCCCAGTGATGCCTGGTCGATACGAATTCCAACCACTCCAACCACAGTGCTGAAGTCAAAATATTCTCAGTGGTAGACGGATCATGGTTTAGAGTCTCCTTGCCATCTGGCCTTCTCTGTTCTATAGCCATTTAACCTAAATTTACCCTATGTATATGTTGTGAATGACCGAAGTTGGTGATTTTGCAACTATCATTGAACAGTCGTCCCAATTTTTGGGCTTACGAATACTAATGTTCATATTTGATATATATAAGCGGGCGGCGGTAGCGACACGTTCAATGTGTTTAAAAGAAGGGATTTGACAGTTAGTTTAGTTTCTCATACAGAAATTGAATTTGAGCATTGTTCTTGGGTAAAAAAGGAAGAAGAGAAATTGTGTAAGAAGGAGAAATGCCTACCAGCACGTGTCAGAGTTTGATCGAGGTCGAATTGGGGCCTACCGGGATTGTGGTTTATCATACCGAAGTATTGCTGCTAGCGTTGGTCGAGATCCCATTTGTGTTAGCAGAATATGGAATCGATGGGTTCATGACGGTCATATGGAACGCCGTGCAGGATCTCAGAGGCCCCCTATCACTAACAGCAGAGAAGACAGACTTATCCACATGGTCTTAAGGGATCGTACAGTTACGTCACGAACCCTGAGTCAACAAATGGGGTCATTTGCAAGACACCAAGTGTCTGCACGAACAGTTCGACAGCGTTGGCAGCAGCATGGACTGTCAGCACGGCGACCCTGGCTTCGGCTACTCTTGACGCTGCATCACAGACAGTTTCACCTCCAATGGTGTTTCTCAAGAATGGCATGACGTCGTCTTTTCAGACGAATTCAGGTTCTGTATATAGCATCATGATGGCCGCATCCGTGTTTGGCGACATCGTGGAGAACGCCCATTGGCAGCTTGCATTTTACATCGTCATACTGGCCCATCACCTGGAATAATATTATGGGGGGCCATTGGATACACGTCTCGATCACCTTTTGTTCGTATTGTCGGCACTTTGAACAACAGCTGTTGCATTTCTGATGTGTTAGGGCCAGTTCCCCTGTCTTATCTTCGAGGCCCCCATAACGCCACGTTTCAGCAGGACAATGCACGACCGCATATTACCCACATTGTTCTGATCTTCCTTGACACAGAACATGTTCGCCTGTTGCCCTGGGGAGCACTGAAAACGATCTCTCATCAACTGAAAACGTCTGGTTAATGGTTGCCGAATGACAGGCATGTGACCACACGTCAGTCACTACGATCGATAATTGCGGTATAATGTTGAAGCTGAATGGAATGCTTCACTCGTCCATGCAATCCAATCTCTGTTCAACTCGATGCCCAGGAGAATAACTGCTGTTATTGCTAGCTCTGATTACTGATTCCCCAGGATCTATACTTCCAAATATCCTGAAAATTTAATCACTTGTTCTTCCAACTAAAATGTATTTGTCCAATAAATATCATTCTGTTATTTTCATTCCTTCCTGGCGTAGCAATTTTAATGGCCAACAGTGTGTATATAAATGTGTGAGTTCCCTGTTCCTAAGTTTGTAATATCTTTTTAAGTTTAGTACAATACAACCGATCGTCTCACATTCTATGAACTCTTTTTTCAATCTACATCAATCCATTTTACTCTATGGGATATTACGTGATATAACATTCGCTCAAAAAAACCTGTTTAAAACGTGGTTTTAAAAACTGACTGAGTCTTGGAGGATTCTAATCACTTTGATAAAAAAAAACATTTATCAATTAAAAACTCATTTACATGATTCGACTCTTAACTATCCTTCTTTTCCATGATTCCAGAGGCTGACAGATGCACTAGCATTGATTCAACTTATTCATCGAATCATCATTGTTTATCATTCTTTCTCAACTCGAATCATCATTGTTTATTGTTGACGTTTTCTCTGGTCAAATTTTAGTTATTTATAGTTTATATTTTCATTGTTAAATACTTTAGATTGGTCTCAATTCTTTTGATGGTTGTTCTAAGCGTCAAATATTAAAACAGTTTGTGCTTCTTGAACCGAAGCATTAAAATTTGCTGCATAAGAAAACTGCTTAGAAAGTAAAGAAACGCTATAAGAGAAGGCGCCAATTATTTCTTGTTCCATGAAAATTATTTCGTTTTCTCCAATTTCCCAAATGCGTTTCTGCTAATAACTCTATGTATGGGGGTCGAGATATCGTGGTTGGTAGGGCACTGGGCCCATGTACAAGAGGGCCCAGTGCCCTACCAACCACGAAGTTTAAACTTATCATAACGAAGTTTAAACTTATCATATCGAAGTTTAAACTTATCATAAGAGTGCCCAGTGCCTGGGCCCATGTTCGATTCCCGAATGCCGAAAACTCTCCCTGTTGTAAATGGGAACTGATGCACGTTTAATCTGTTGAGCCGCAAAGTGCTCCATGTTCCCATAACAAATCAATACCTCTGGGGGGGTACTGATCCAGCTTTCTTGTCTTCTGGATTGGTTCAAAATTACAAGGCTACGGAGTTGAACATTGGTAGTCGTAAACCCAAAATTGGGTCGGCTGTGTTTTAGTTTTCCCTTCGCCTCATTTTGTTCCGTCACTATTCTGTTCTGAAATATTTTTTCGAATTTTTTAAGCAATGGAAGGAAAGTCAAGAGCACTTCGAAACAAATTTTCATAAGCAAGCTTACATAAGTTGAAAAGTTGTACGAACCAGTATGGAATTGCATTGGAAATATGTATTGTGGGAAAGAATTCTCCTGCGTTAATGGTGGCTGGCATTCACTCCAGCAATCAAAACCGTTTTCAAACAGTGGCGTTTGTGTAATTAATGGAAACCGGCCTATAAACAGCTGTGTAAATGGAGTCCAAGATTCAGTTAAATAATAAAAACTGGCAGCGATGGCTCAGGGAATAGAGCTCTCGCCTCCCAATGAGATGACTCGAGTTCGAATACCAGCCGTGACTGGTCGATATAAGTTCCGACCAACCACAGTGCTGACGTAAATTATTCTCAATGGCAGACGGATCATGGGTTGGAGTCTTTTTACCGTCAGACTAACAATGTGTGGTTTCCGTGGGGGTTTTTTCTCTCCGTGTACCATAAATGCGAGTTAGTTCCATCAAAAAGTCCTCCACGAAGGCTAGTTTTTCTTTATGTTTGATCCAAAAGTTCTCTTGTCTTCCTAGATTGGGTTCAAAATTGAAAGACTACGGATTGTACATTGGAAGTAGTAAACTAAAAATTGAACTGGCTGTCCAACGACGGTTATAGACTGTTTTTCTTATCGATAAATCTACAGAGTTCCATTGTGATTGTTTCTTCCGTAGTTATATATGAATCTCTAAGGAGTATACTTTTTGACTTCATTTTATACAAATGATTCTACCCAAAAGATATTTTATATCCGTCATTGAGCAGCCGACCCAATTTTGGGCTTACGACTACTAATGTTCATCTCCATAGCCTTGTAATTTTGAACCAATCCAAAAGACAAGAAAACTCCTGGATCAGTAACCCCAGAGGTATGATTTGTTACGGGAACATGGAGGACTTCGTGACTTGGCAGATTAAGCGTGCATCAGTCCCCATTCACTACGAGGTGAGTCTTCGGCTGGCGGGGAATAAGTCCAGAGCTCTACCAACCAAGTTATCCCGGCCTACGTAAAAGATATATAAAGGCAGTTCTTTTCAAATTTTCAGCATTTGCTTTTTACAAAGCGACTAATTAAATCCTTTTTTTCTTTTACAGGTATGGCCCTATTATGAAAAGTTTCTTCACCCTCAAACTCTTTGGACCATGTTTGCAAACATTCTAGTTCGCCGACCACGCACGTATGCATTCATAATTTGTGTTGCGTTTTTAATATTCTACATTTGGTTCGCCAATCGTGATGGCAGAGACTGGAATGACAATTATATTATGAAACTTGTAAACACTAGACTATCTCTAATAATCAGCAAAACAGAGAGACCAATCATTGTGAAGGGTAAAAACCCTGGTCTCATCCTAGACACGCCGGGATGCAAAATACCAAAGCTTGATCCATTCGATCCATCTGTGATTGACCTCTATGAGAAAACAGAAGTCTATGATTGCGCTGGCAGGCCCTTATTTATGCATTCTCAGCCAGGTGGTTCAATAGCATTAAATAAAACAGCATTAAAAGTTCATTACGATGTGAATCCCAAAGATGTTTTCTGCGTCTACCGTGGCATCTACCGGCTGCATGAAAAAGCTGGGGATGTGCGGGAAAACTCTTATAGTTATACTGAGTATGATATACTTGATTTCGATGTCCCTCTTAAACAAGACCATATTGTCGTGAACTGCGATATTGGTGGGAAAGAGAATTTCACTCAATTTTTTCCCCTGGTGTATCTCAAAAAAGAAGTTGAATCGGTAAAATCTAAAATACCAGAACCGCCTTCCCGATTAAATGTCATAATACATGCTATTGATTCAATATCAAAACTGAATTTTTTGAGGCATTTTAAGAAAACTAAACGCTTTATAAAAGAGAAGGGGAACTTTTTCGACATGAAAGGATATAACAAGGTCGGGGATAACACATTTCCGAATTTGACGCCACTGCTTACAGGGCAGCACGTTGAAGCAATCTGGAATGAAAGTGTTAAAAACAGCATGTTCTTTGATGACGTCGATATCATATGGAAGAAATACTCTGAAAAGGGATTTAGAACATTCTACGCTGAAGACAGCCCCTTTTTCGGAACATTTAACTACGCAAGACGGGGTTTCAACAATACACCAACAGATTATTACATGCGCCCTTTATACCTCGCTATGCATAAGTCAGAATTGAGGAAGAAAAAGTATTGGTATTGCTTCAATAATCAGTTGGAACCAGAAATCATGTATAACTACGTGGCAGATTTCATTGCAACTATGGGAACAAGACCATATTTTACTTTTTCGATTACATCTTCTTTAACTCATGATTATATCAATCACGCGGGCTATGCTGATGCTCCTGCAACAGATTTCCTTGAAAAAATTTGGACTATGGGTGCACTGAACAACTCTGTCGTAATCTTATTTGGTGATCATGGTTTAAGATTTGGGAAAATTAGGAACATCTACATCGGAAAATTCGAAGAAAGAATGCCTTTTCTCTACGTGCATTTTCCAACATGGTTCCTGGAACAAAATCCTGATGTACACAAGAATCTCAAAACCAATACAGAACGTTTAGTGACACTTTTTGATGTATATGCTACTATGGTACACCTGCTGAATCCCACTAAGAAACTAACACCACTGGAAAAAGTTAAGGTTTCACCATATGGATTGAGTCTCATGGAAGAAATATCGCCCTACAGAACTTGCGAAAAAGCAGGCATTTTTCCGCATTGGTGTACCTGTCAAGTATTTCAATACGTTTCTCCAATGGATCGAGAAATATTGCAGTCAGCTAAAGTGGTGAAGGATCACTTGAAAAATATAACAATAAAATATAATCAAACTTGTGCAACTATTAATGTGGACGCTGTAAAGGAGGCAAAGTTAGGACAGCTAAATGATTTGGTTCTCCGATTCCTTAAGCATGAAGGTATAATACTTGATAGAAGTGTTTCGTATGGTGAAAGAATAGTGAGATACGAAGATTTTTTAGTCACTATCACAACAAAACCGTGTGGTGATATATTTGAAGCTACTGTCAGACACAATGTTGTGGACGATTCTTATGATGTAGTAGATGTTAATAATATAGATTTTGATCCAAGCATGCACAATTGTATAGAAGATCAAAAACTTAGGCCTTTTTGTTGCTGCAAATAGTAGGTTAAATTAATATAATATGCACCGAAGAACCATTACATTATGACCACCCTGCTAATAACATGTAGGACCACCTTTAGCCCTCAAAACTGCTAGCACCCGCCGTGGCATTGATTCCACAAGGTGCTGATAGGTAGTCTGAGGTATCTGGTACCAAACGCTCACCAATTGGTCCTGCAATTCCCTCACATTGCGAGGGGATAGCGTGACAGCACGAATTTGGTTGTCCAAGTAGGACCACAAATGCTCTATTGGAATAAGGTCGGGTGAATTTGGGAGCCAAGACATGACTTGAAAGTCACTGGAATGTTCCTCGAAACAATCCATGACTATTCGACCCTTATGAAATGGTGCATTATCCTGTTGGTAAGCACCATCCCCCGCAGGAAAAACTGTTGCCATGAATGGGTGAACTATGTTCAAGTAGCTTACAGACGTCAGGGATTGTTCTATGAGGATTATGGGTCATAATGTGCCCCATGAAAACATTGTTCCTGGGCGAGAAACCATGAAAACCTGGGCGAGCCCATTGTTATAGATGGAGGGTAGTCATAATGATCATTCAGAATGTTAAAAGTATCTCAGTAGTAACCAATATAAATAATACAAAACTACATCACAGACGCACTTCATTTAAATGCTCTGCATAGTTTCTCAATAGAGGGGTGACTTGTTTTTTGTGCGATGGGCGTACTGTGAAGAGAACATAAGTGCTTACCGTTTTTTTCTACAAATAGCAGAACTGACTGAAAATAAAAATGGATGATAAGAGTTATTAGCAGTGTACTAAGATGAAATTGAAAAGCTGAGATAATGATTTTTAAAGAATCGTATTGTCTTTTCAAGAAGAATGCGTTTATGTCATCACACAAACTTGAGCTTATCAGTGAAAGGTTGTGTCATAAGCGTGAAAACTAGTCATTTAATTTTAATCATTATGTAAGCCATCATTTTAAAAAAAAACTTTGCTAACTAATGTGTGACATTTCCCCATCTCTCTTTTGATCATTATAATACAACATGTTAATGTCTTTGCTTGAAATTCTGTGTAAATATCGCTAATTTTAAAATGCTTGTTTAATCATATGAAATCTGAGATCGAACGTTATATGAATCACATATTTTTAGACTTCATACACTTTTTTTGTTTTATATTATTTGTTTATGTAAATAAATATATTATTTATCGCTTTATTTAAAATATGCATGTACATTTTAAACATTATACTATATTTTCAGTAAACAATTTACTTCATTAATCTTGCTGCACGTGTTAACAAATAAAACTAAACTTTATTTTTTTCAAGACCGATGCGTTATTTAATACGCATTTTTTATTGCTTGCATTTCTTAGCACGCATTAAATTTTTATTCTAAGGGTAAATTCATTCAATAACTAAAAGGCTTATTTGATTGATTCACCAAAAACTAGTCATCTTAAAATCACTAATTCGAAACTCAAGTACTTTAAGAAAATCTGAAACAATTCATACTTACTCTTTACTTACTTAATACTTACACTTTCAAGAGAAAAATACAAGGAACTCACTGTAACTGTTGAGTCAATTTCTTGGCCAGGAGAGTGAAAACAAATTTATATATGTAAGACCTGTAACTAAGTTCTAAAGACAGATTTAGGCTTAAGAAAAAAAATTTATTCAAATCATCACATTAGTACTCAATATAATATTTATCATTTTTTAAGAAATGCTTTGTGTAATTAAGCTATTGTACATGAGAATGACAGCTTAAACTGTTACACACCTCAGTTCAGAACTCTAAAACTATGATAAGAGAATCAGGCGAATCATATTTTCAAAGCACTTAATCAATCCAACTGAATGTTAGGAATAAACAGTATTGCAAGAGCAAGTATAAAAACTCTCTATTTTTTCCTAAAATAATAGAAAAATTCAATGAATGTGGAATTAAGTTCTAGGTACAAACTTTCAAATGATATACCTTGGAAAACTAAAGAATTAAACAGATTCAGAAACTATTATAATACATCTTCAAATGCATGTATTTTACTAATACTACTTTAATTATTGAAATGTTGGGGTAAAAAATTTAAACAAATTAAATATGTTTAAGAAAATTTCAAATAGGCTAGAAGAGTGACTTTCAGGGAATTAAAATTATTTTAGGAAATTGTAAATGAACAATCTTTTTTCTAGGCATTTTGAAATGAAAGGAAAAAAATTGTCTGAAAAGTATAAAATATAAGACTTTTATATCTCAAGTGTATATTGCGATATTGTTAGGTTTCTGAAGAATAACTCATTTACACAATAAATACGCTTTAAAATTTAATAAATTGTAATAAAATATTTCGACCACTAAAAAGCTTTAACATCTATCATTTTTAAAAATTTAATTTGAATTGCAAAAAATAGTACTTTAAAATAACTAAGAATTTTTACTAAACTAAGTTTTTATTATTTACTTTAAATCACTTCATTTACATTAAAAGCGATTATTAATTACATTGTGAAATTTAGATTTAAAAATTTCTATTTGTGTGCTATTTGTTGTAAAATGATTTTTTAACATTATCCTTTTGAAATAAGATCAGCCAGGTACTCATTTGAGTTATGAAAAAATATATATAAATTTGGATTATAGATAAATAAATAAAACTTTTAAATCATCAATGCTCTGTTTAAATTTAAGGCCTTGCTAATTTGAAAAAAACTGACAAACTGCATGAAAAGACATATAATTTTTGCAATATTCTTTCCAATTTTGCCGACAATAAATATTTATTTGCATATCACTAAGCTGAAAATGATTTTATATTTTAGAGTTATTTCAGTAATATACTCAGATTTTCAAAAGCGATTGCCAATAGTCAAAATTGCAGACTAATTTGGTTTCGACAATCAGATTTTAATAAACTTATTATTAAAGATTAGGAAATTATGAAACGTTGCATTAGAAGTATCACTGTTGTTTCTAAATTGATGTATTTCTTATTAATTACATAACGATCATAGAAAGGAAAATTTTCTATTTTATGTAATGGGTGTTGCAATAAAATATTGTTCAAAATTTGCTGTAAATTCTCATATATCAGAAAGAGCATGTATATTTGATTTCGTTTTATTATTGCGTTAAATCTTTCAAATTTCGCAAGAATCTATCATATAAACAATAGCCATTATGAATAAAGTAAAGGTTTCAGATTTAAAATGGCAGGAATTGACAATAGCTAGGAGCAACCAAACACAAACAACAAAGAACCTTCAGACGTTATTGTTTTAAATATTTGAATTTTTAACGGATGGTCAAAGCAAGATGAAACTCAAAATAAATATATAATGAGATGTTTTAATGTTATTTTACATTTTATTGTCCATGGTAATACATAAATATGTCAGAAACAAACAATTCAAACACTATGAAATGTTTTTGTAAGTAGTTAAAATACACGCTATATGTTAATAGTTAAAATCTATAGTTTAATTCCAATTTATGTTAAAAAGTTAAAAACTAAATCCTTAGAAAAGAAGATATTTAATTTAAAAATAAATACAATTGCTAGGAGCTATATGTGCTGAGCGATATAAAAATTATAACGTCACGATCATATATTGTCAAGAAATATCGATATTTTATTAGATAGCATAATATTTTTCAAATTTTGCCGATTTAAATAACTTTTAGATAGTCAATATTTTCGTTCTCAGCACAATATAATGCAGCATTAAATAGCTAGAAACCTACAAGTGACATAATCGTAGGTAAACCAATGCATTTGTAGATTCAGAAGTGAATCAAGTTCGACACGCATGCGCACGACGTCGCTTACAAGCATCCAATTAAAACTAATTTAAATCACTTAGTTAGGCACTGATTTAGATCACTTAGTTAAATCACTGATTTTATGCCGTCACTACTTCTCGAGTTGCAAGTTCCAAATTATCATTATCAATAATCTTCGTGACAACACCGCATTCGGTAATTATTGTTGATAAAGACCGTGATTCAACTATTGATATCAAAATAACGATATTATTGTTGTTAACAATGATCATGATATTATCGATGTCAAAAATTTTGTGACAATTGTGTCGAAAATTTTGACTGTGAGATATTGGATTCACGATTTGTCCTGAGAGAAATTTTTAAAAACATCTTAATCTCGATATTTATTCTCCGATAATTATTTTTGCTGATAATTCCCACGATATTATCGTTATTGATAGTATTCACTGTTATTATCGTCACTGCTAATGAACGTCATATTATTACTGATAATGATCATCCCGTTATCGTTGTGAACATATTTGATGAATTCGATATTTATTGATATTCATGAATTGTTGTGAGTATAACTTATAAAATATCATTATCACAAAGTTTGAAAAATGCAGCTGTAAAAGTTACTCAAGCTCTTAAAAATATATGAAGATATTTGTCTCGATAGGAAACACACACAAAATGTAAATAAAAATGCTAAATTAAAACAAACCATTATTGCTTTAAGAGACGATTCCAAAAAAGTCACATAAATACACAAGAAATATTACTTTCGATATAAAATTAGTTTAAATTGTTTTTAGTTAATCAATAATCTTCACTTTATCAATGGAATCACAAGCGTTCGGTTAACAATGTAGGGAATAATTGGACATTGACAATTTCTAAAAACAACTCACAATTTTTAAATTTCATTTTGAAGTCCACTTTAAAAGTAATTGCTTGCAATGTCAAGAACAAAACTGTTAAGTTTGTTAATTATTTTAATAAATGATCAATTTGTGCAATAGAAATGTCAAAGCTGCCATCACTTCACTTATCTGTCCAATGGCAAGTTCAATGACTTACAGATAGCAACCAATAGGAATGCATTGGGATGTGAGTATGAGTTGTTCAATAGAGATGATGCAAACGACAATTGATTTATTTATTCCACTCAGTGATTTAGTTCAGCTTTTGGCTTGGACATCTATATTATTTCTATAAAAAGATATGCCGGACCCAGATGCTTAACTTTATTAGTTAGCTATTATCATTCAATCAATAAGCATTAAGTAGTAGTTAAATGCAGTCAACTATGTACACCACAATTATACTTTGAAATCAAACGTACTCCAATGGATTATTACTTGCTACGAATTGATCATTGATGCATTTTTAGGTGGCAGATTGAAAAGTTAAAATGGAAAGACTTGATTGGTTAATTAAACATTGTTTCATATTGGTACTTAATATATTCTATATATAAAGCACTAATATGTATAATAATAGTAGTACTATATATATATACATATGGAATGTCTTACAAGTA